GGAAAAATTCACTAATATGTGGAATTTAAACAACATGCTACTGAACAACCAATGCATCAACAAAGACATCAAAATATATATACAATGGAATACTACTCAGCCATAAAAAAGACAAAATCGTCCCATTTGCAACAACAGGGATGGGCCTGGAGCATATTATGTTAAGTGAAATAAGCCAGTAAGAGAAAGACAAACACTGTATGATCTCACTCATATGTGGAATATAAACCAACACATGGACAGAGAAAACTGTACTGTGGTTACCAGGGGCAGTGGGGGTGGGGGGTGGGCACAAGGGGTGAAGGGAGTCATATATATGGTGATGGACAAACAAAAATGCACAACCCAAAATTTCACAATGTTAAAAACCATTAAAACATCAATAAAAAATAATAATAACAATTTAAAAAAAAAAGAGAAATCAAAAAATATCTTGAGGGGCCAGCCCAGTGGCATAGCGGTTAAGTTCACGTGCTCCACTTCGGTGGCCGGGGGTTCACAGGTTTGGATCCTGGGTGTGGACCTACGCACCGCTTATAAAGCCATGCCGTGGCAGGCATCCCACATATAAAGTAGAGGAAGATGGGCACGGATGTTAGCCCAGGGCTAATCTTCTTCACACACATACACACACAACAAATACCTTGAGGCATATGAAAATGGAAATACAATATAACAAACCTTATGCAATGCAGCAAAAGCAGTTCTAAGAGGAAAGTTCATACTGATAAATGCCTACCCGCAAGAGATAAGGAAAAAATCTCATATAAACAACCGAAATTTACACCTCAAGGAACTAGAAAAAGAAGAACAAATGAAGCCCAAAGTTAGCAGAAGAAGAGAAATAAAGATCAGAGTGTAAATAAATAAAACAGAGACTAAAAATACAATAGAAAAGATCAGTGAAACAGCTGGTTCTTTGAAAAGATAAAATTGACAAACCTTTAGCTAGACTCACCAAGAGAAAAAGAGGGCTCGAACAAATAAAATCAGAAATGAAAGAGGAGATGTTACAACTGATACCACAGAAATACAAAGGATCATAAGAGACTACTATGAACAACTAAATGCCAACAAATTGGAAAACCTAGAAGAAATGAATAAATTCCTAGAAACATACTACCTTCAAAGACTGAATCATGAAGAAATAGAAAATCTGAATAGGCTGATTACTAGTACGGAGATTGAATCGGTATCCAAAACCTCTAAACAAACAAAACTCCAGGACCAGATGGCTTCACTGGTGACTTCCACCCAACATTCCTAAAATAATTAATACTAATCTTTTTCAAACTCTTCCGATAAAAAACAGAAGAGAAGGGAATGCTGCCACACTCATTTTATGATGCTATCATTACTGATACCAAAACCAGACAAGAACATTACAAGAAAAACAAATTACAGGCTAATATCCCTGATGAACATAGATGCAAAAATCCTCAGCAAAATATTAGCAAACTGAATTCAACAATACATTAAAAGAATCATACATCATGATCAAGTGGGATTTATTCCAGGATTGCAAGTATGGTTCAACATCCGCAAATCCATCAATGTGATACACCACATTAACAAAATGAAGTATGAAAATCATATGATCATCTCAATAGATGTAGAAAAGCATTTGAAAAAATTCAACATTCATTTATGATAAAAACTCTCAACAAAGTGTGTATAGAGGAAATGTGCCTCAAAATAATGAAGGCCATATATGACAAACCCACAGCTAACACACTCGATGGTGAAAAGATGGAAGCTTCTCCTCTAAGATCAGGAACAAGGCAAGGATGCCCACTCTCACCACTTTCATTCAACACAGTACTGGAAGTACTAGCCAGAACAATCAGGCAAGAAAAAGATATAAAGGCATCCAAATCAGAAAGGAAGAAGTAAAACTGTTACTATTTGCAGATGACATGATATTATACATAGAAAACCCTACCTAAAGACTCTACCAAAAAACTGTTAGAACTAATAAATGAATTCAGTAAAGTTGCAGGATACAAAATCAATATACAAAAATCAGTTGTGTTTCTATACAGTAATAACGAGCTATCACAAAGAGAAATTAAGCAAACAATGCCATTAAAATTGCATCAAAAAGAATAAAATACCTAACGAAGGAGTTGAAAGACCTGTACACTGAAACTGTAAGACATTGATGAAGAAACTGAAGAAGACACAAATAAATGGAAAGATATTCTGTGCTCCTGGATTGGAAAAATTAAATATTGTTAAAATGTCCACACTACCCAAAGCAATCTACAGCTTCAATGCAATTGCTATCAAAATTCCAAAGGTATTTTTCACAGAAATAGAACAAGCAATCATAAAATTTGTATGGAACCACAAAAGACCCCAAATAGCCAAAGCAATCTTGAGAAAGCAGAACAAAGCTGGAGGCAGTATGCTCCCTAATTTCAAACTATGTTACAAAGCAATAGTAATGAAAACAGCATGGTATTGGCATAAAAACAGACACATAGATCAATGGAACTGACTAGGGTGCCCAGAAATAAACCCACTCATATTTGGTCAATTAATTTATGACATAGGAGCCAAGAATATAAAACGGGGAAAGGACAATCTCTTCAATAAATGGTGCTTGGAAAACTGGACAGGCACATTCAAAAGAATGAAACTAGACTCCTGTCTTACATCATACACAAAAATTAACTCAAAATGGATGAAGACTTGAATGTAAGACCTGAAACCATAAAACTCTTAGGAGAAAACACAGGTAGTAAGCTCTTTGACATCAGTCTTGGCAATGATTCCTTGGATCTGACACCAAAAGCAAAGGTAACAAAAGCAAAACTAAACAAGTGGAAGTACATCAAACTAAAAAGCTTCTGTACAGCAAAGGAAATCAACAAAATGAAAAGGCAAGCTACCGAACGGGAGAAAATATTTGCAAATCATGTATCTGTTAAGAGGTTAATATACAAAATATATAAAGAACTCACACAACTCAATAACAAAAAAATCCCAAATAATCCAATTTTAAAGTGGGCAAAAACCTGAACAGATATTTTTCCAAAGAAGATATATGAATGGCCAACAAGTACATGTAAAGATCACTGGTCATGAGATCAAAGGTCAACACCACTGGTCATCAGGGAAATGCAAATCAAACCCATAACGAGATATCACCTCACTCCTTTTAGAATGGCTATCGTCAAAAAGACAAGAGTTAACAAATGCTGGCGAGGATGTGGAGAAAAGGGAACCCTTGTGCACAGTTGGTGAGAATGTAAATTGGTGCAGCCACTAGGGAAAACAGTATGGAGGATTCTTAAAAAATTAAAAATAGAACCACGATATGATCCAGCAATTCCACTTCTGGGAATATATCCAAAGGAAACAAAAACACTAACTCAAAAAGCTATCTGCACCCCCATGTTCAAAGCAGCATTATTTACAATAGCCAAGATATGAAAACAACCTGTGTGTCCAACAATGGATGAGTGGATAAAGAAAATGTGGTGTATGTATATATACACACACACAATGGAATACAAGCATACCTTGTTTTATTGCACTTCACTTTATTGTGCTTCGCAGATATTGTGTCTTTTACAAGACCCTCTACCAGCAAAAATATTAGAACTTACTGAAGGCTCAGATGATGGTTAGCATTTTTTAGCAATAAGGTATTTTTTAATTAGGGCATGTACATTGTTATTTTAGACATAATGCTATTGCACACTTAGACTACTGAATAGTGTAAACATAACTGTCGTATGCCTTGGGAAACCAAATAATTCTTGTGACTCACTGTATTGTGCTATTCGCTTTATTGTGGTGGTCTGGAACTGAAACCACAATATCTCTGAGGTATGCCTGTATTATTCAGCCATAAAAAATGAGGAAATTCTACCATTTGTGACATCATGGATAGACCTTGAAGGCATTATGCTGAATGAGATAAATCAGACAGAGAAAGATCTCACTTATATGAGGAATCTAAAAAAACCCCACAAAACTCAAACTCAGAAAAAGAGATCAGATTTTTGGTTACCAGAGATGGGGTAGAGGGATGGGAATTGCAGGAAGGGGGTCAAAAGGTTCAAACTTCCAGTTATAAGATAAATGAGTACTGGGGATGTAACGTACATGATGCCCATAGTTAACATGCTGTGTGAGAGATACGAAAGTGGTTAAGAGAGTAAATCCTAAGAGTTCTTATCATGAGGAAAACATGTTTTATTTTTCTCCTTTTTCTTTTTACTGTATCTATATGAGATGATGGATGCTAACTAAACTTTTTGTGGTAATCATTTCACAATATACGTAAGTCAAACCATTATGCTGTACATCTTAAAACTTATAAGGTGACATATGTCAATTATATCTCAATAAAATTGGAAAAAAGAAATAAAATAACTTATAAAGGAATAAAAATGAATGAAATAGTCAACTCAAGAAGTTAGAAAGGAGAAAAATATAAGTTTTAAAATATCATAAAAAATAAAAGCTGAAGTTAATGAATTAGAAAAACAGAAAAAGCAGATTGATAAATAAATCCAAGAACTGGTTCTTTTGAAAAAACTAACAACCTGAACACTAACGGCAGCTTCTTCATTGGTTTTCATAAAGTATGTACACATACAAAGCTTACAAACTTCTAAGAGACTTTTTACTAGAGATCAGGGTTTGGGGGTCAGGTGGCTTCACCCAGACAGACCAGGGGCAATCAACTTCAAGTCAGGCCTTGGATGTCGGCGTCTTGACGTCTTTTTGGTTGGTGTGGGCTGAGGGAGGTTCTTGGCCATTCAGGCCACATAGCACCCAGCCTTCCGTCACCTCACCAGCTTCTCAGTCTCCTGTTCTCTTTCTCTCTACTCACATTTTCTCATGCAGATTAGTTTATCTCCAGTGTTGCTTGAACATCTCAATATGCATGCCCTTAACAGCTTAAGCAGGATGTTACACACACACACACACACTACAGTTCTTTCTCTAAGAGGATCTCTGTGGTCAAGGTAAAGGTGATAAACCTAAGAGCGTTCCTTTTCACCTTTCAGGAAGGACGAGATACGCCAGGGCTGGAGTGAGATCAGATACAGGCCAGAGGCAGATGCCCCGCTCAAGAACTGGCCATCTGCCCTGTATCTCCCAGCAGGTAACTGGACAGCCCAGGTGTGGTGAAGGCCTGGGACCCCTGACCTGGGGGAGAGAATGCCCACCTGGATCAGGCTGTGCTTCTGGCCTCTCTTCTTCAGCAGCCTGGTGTTCTGCCACTGCGGGTACTTCTCCTGGTGGGCACGGATCTCATTAGGGAGGGTGGAACCCCAACTTTGTAAATCCTCGAGATTGGGGGCAGGATGAGGCGGCATAGCCAACAGTTTGGCACCTCTGAGTTGTTCCCATGAAACAGGCAACCCAAACTCTTGGCTCAAGGCTTTGATCATGTCAGAGGAAGGCAGCAGGTCTCCCGTGATCACCTCCCTGAGACTGGTGCTGTAATAGCAGATCCAGTGGATCCTGGAATGCAGAAGGGCCACACACTCGGCTTCACCTACCTTGCAAGATAGGTCGAACCACCCTCACTTTACAAGAGGAAATGGAACCCCAGAGAGGTTGATTAGCTGATTCCGGGTCACAGAGCTCCTACATGAGGAGCTTAGATTCCAGTCTGATGAGCCCACAAAGGGGAATGCCTCCTTCCCTCTCTCCACCAAGCCCCCAGAAGTTAAAGGCTTCCCACATTCTGCTCTGGTTATTTTCCTGTTACGGTGGCCTTAGTCTATGCCTCTCACTAACTCATACCCCACCAGGGAGTGGCCCCAACAAGCTGGCTGTCAGGGGTGTCAATCTGAGAGCTTCCTGCCCCAGGGAGAGGGCACTAGGCACATAGCTTTGTACCCTAGCAAAGCTCAAGGACTGAGCGGTCACCCCCACCCCCCACCCCGAGGACTCCCCCTCATTGCCATCTCCTAAGGCCCAGCGTGCCGTGGGCACTTGATTCACTCTGACGGTCTCCAGAGTACATGTCAGGGACCATCATCTGCTGCTCACTATCTCAGCTGTTTCCGACGTCCCGCGTGAGGCCGATGCCTGAGGACAGCGGGCTCTGCCTCTCCCTAGCTGAGTTCCCTGGCCCACCACTTGGCCTTTCTGAGCTTGTTTCCTGACCTTTCAGATAGGAATAAAGCCATAATGGATGTAGCCTCCTAGGATGCAGTGAGCACTTAATAAATAGTTTTCCTCCCTTTCCCTAAGAAAGCTCTCCAGCTACTTCCTATCACTCACCAGGCAGGACAGGGGCCAGCCTCCCCCTACTGATCACTGAGGCTCTGGACACCGAAATGCTCCAGCACCTCCCCAACACAAGCCTCCCGCTGCACCCTTTCCTGATTTGCAGCTTTGGTCACTGTTTTGGGGTTACTCAGTCTACACCTGCCCGGCCCCTCACACAGAGCTGTGGCTGCAGGGGTGGGAATAAAAGGAAAGCCTCTCAGGCCTGACCAAGTTCTCCTTCCCGTGGAGAACATGGTCCTGGTGTACCCCCCTGCACTATTCTTTGCCAGTCTCCGCTTCTAAACTGGGTCTGCCTCTCTCGGCCCTTCTCCTAGAGCAGGTGCTAGGCAGTGGCCGTTCTATACACGACTGGAGGAGACTCTTGGGCCAGCATGAGCAGCACTCCACTCAGCAGGAGGAGCACCCAGCTTCCCAGGGTGGGAGCACCCACTGACAGAGGCCTGGGAGGTCACCACTTCGGAGCAGATGTAACAGCACAGGTGAAGGTGTGCAAGTAGTGAAAGATCCAGATCTTTGGAGAATGGCTTTCTGAGGAATAGGGAGGGAAGGTGGAACAGGGGATTAGGGAGGAGGCAGATGGAAAAGAAACATTGAGTTGGGAGAGAAAGCCGTTGTTGGCCTGCGGATCTGGCGGTTCCAGCCTCGCTGTCCCCATCGCTCACCGGGAAAGGGGGTTCTAATCGTGGCTCACTCCCAGGCTCTTCTAGGATATTCCCAAGGACAGCAGATAGCTTCATGTGATGTGTTTGAGTAAACTGTCCTTTCACTGGTATGTTTCTGAAACTGTCTTGGGAGAGCATGTGGAATAGTAGGAATGACACGGGCACGGGGCCCCTTGGCACTGGCCTCCACTCCTGACCTGGCTTCTTCGGGCATAAAGAATAACAAAAACTGCACCTCGAAGGGCCACTGCGCCACCCCTCAGTGGCCGCCAAGAGGGCTGGCGGCCCACTCCCACCCCCGCAGCAGGCCCAGGGTGCCGCACCTGCTCAGGGCCTGGAAGGCGTCCCGTGGCACAGCGTCGTGGATGTAGAGTGACGGCTGTTTCATGAGCCACGACAGGGGCTCGGAAAGGTGCACGCGGTACAGGATGGTCTCCAGGTCTGCATAGAGGCGGTGGCGAAACAGCAGCTGGGAGTTGTAGAGCACCTTGCACTTCCCGTGGTCTAATTCGGAAATCCTGCAAGAGGCCACAGGGCAGGGTCTTACTACTGCTTTGCCGGCTCTTGGAACACTTTGTGGTTTTGCACCATCTGGCAGAGCTTTTGTAAAAACACACAAACAAAAGGAATGTATTAATAATAAATGTCATCTGGTAGACAAATCTTTCAAAACATGGGCTATTGGAAGGAAGGTTAGCAGTGAAAACACTGAAACCAGCCTCATCTTGCTTGTGTCCTGCCCTCCCCCAGCCCCTGCCCCAGCACTCACACTTTGCATGCTGGCAACACCAGCCTGGCCCAGCAGAGTTTCTAAACACACCCTGCTGTGTGCCCTCTCCCCCAGCTGTGTTAGGCTCACATTGTTCCTGCACCTCGTTGAACCCGGTCAAGTCTACACATAGTCCGCACATCCCGCTGCTGGGTCTGCATGTTTGCACACGGGCTCTCCTTTTTCGTGAAGTACCTGTTCAAGTCTTTTGCCCATCCTTCCACTGGGATGTTTTGATTGTTTTCTTATTGATTCACAGGCTGTAGGGGCACTAGCCTGCATGCCCTTTAAGAGCCATGTGACCTTGAGGCTCCTTGTCTGGGCTACACTCCAGCACTCACGATGGTAACAGTCGTGGGCTTGGCTAAACCAGCTGTTTTCTCATGGGAGAGTTAACACAGAGACCCTCACGGTCTGAGGGAACATGCAGGGCCCCCGGGGGGTGGGCCTCTGGTCCTTGGAATACAGGTCACATAAGGACAGTCCCCCTTGGCAAGCATGCAGCCTTTATTCCTCTGCCTACTTAAGCAAGCTTCTCTCAGGGGACAGTTGCTGGTGCACATTTCTGGTCCAGCTGACCTTCCCTGTAAATAACTCCCAATAAACCCATATGTCTCGTTCACTGTCTCTGGGTCTTTTCTTTGGTCTCTCGGCAATCCTGCACTGCTCACCCAGCTGGGTGTGTGGTGCAACACAGGCATTTGCATATATTCAGGATACTAGCTCCACACATTGCAAATAATTTTTTCTCAGTTTGTGGCTTGGTTTTCACAATGTTTATGGTGTCTTCTAGATAAACAGAAGTTGTTAATTTTAATAGCCAAAGTTTAGTAGCCAAATCTATAATTCTTTTCCTTTACTCTTTGTACTTCTGTCTCGTACAAGAAATCTTTATTCTGAAGTCATGAATATGTTCTCCTATATTGTCATCTAAAAGGTTTATAATTTTGCTTTTCAAAAATAGATTTTTCTGGTGAAACCTGAGTAAGACCAGATAATTGTGGTCTACTTAATTGTACTGTGTCCATCAATATGGCACTTTAGTTATGTCAGATGTCACCATTGGGGAAAACTGAGTATTGGGTACATGGAACCTCTCTGTTATTTTTGCAATTTATTGTCAGTCTATAATTATTTCAAATAGGTTTTTAATCTACCTGGAATTGATTTTTGTGAATTGTGTAAGCCAGCAAATTAGGAAACTCTCAGCAAACTAGGAATAGAGTGGAACTTCCTCAAATTGATAAACAAAAAGACTATACCTAACATCATATGGAATAGGGAAAGACTTAATGTGTTCCACCAAAGATCAGAGACAAGGCAAGGATGTCACCATTCGTGTATAAAATAGTACTACAATTCCTAGCCAGCACAGTAAGAAAATAAAGACATACATATTGGAAAGGAAGCAATTGAACTCTCTCTATTTGCAGGTGACATGATGGTCTATGTAGAAAACCTCAAGGAATTTACCAAAAACAAACAAACAATCCAGAAAAACTCCTCAAACCTATAAGTGAGCTTACCAAGGCTGCAGGATCAACATAGAAAAATCAGTCATATTTCTATATGCAAGCAATGAACACTTGGAAACAGAAATTAAAAATACAATACCATTTAAAATCACTCAAAAAATAAAATATTTAGATGTAAATCTACCAGAACATGCACAGGACTTGTATGTTGAAAGCTATAGAACACAGATGAAAGAAATCAAAGATCTAACTAAACGGAAAAACACACCATATTCATGGATTGGAAGACTCAACATAGCAATGATATCAGATTTCTCCAAAATGATACATAAGTTTAGCACAATTCCTATCAACATTCTAGCAAGACTTTTTGTAGATACAGACAGTTTATTGTAAAATTTATATGAAAACGCAAAGGAACTAGAATAGCTAAAACAATTTTGAAAAAAAAGAATAATGTGGAAGGAATCACACTACCTGACTCTGATTATATAGCTACAGGAATCAAGACTGTGTGGTATTGGTTAAGGGATAGACGCATAGATCAGTGGAACAGAAGAGAGAACCAAGAAATAGATCCATACAATTATGACCAACAGATTTTTTACAAAGATGCAAAAGCAATTCCATAAAGAAAGACAGTGTTGTCAACAAATAGTGCTACAGCAATTGATGTGAAGGTTAAAAGACAAAAGTAGTAAAACTAACTAAAACTACAATAACTAGTTAAGGGATCCACAAGACAAAATGATGTAAAATGTGACATCAAAAACCTAAAACATGGGGGCCAGCCCAGTGGCGCAAGCAGTTAGGTGCGCACGCTCCACTGTGGCGGCCTGGGGTTCGCCGGTTGGGATCCCGGGTGCGCACCAATGCACTGCTTGTTGAACCATGCTATGGCAGCATCACATACAAAGTAGAGGAAGATGGGCATGGATGTTAGCCCAGGGCCAGTCTTCCTCAGCAAAAAGAGGAGGATTGGCAGATGTTAGCCCAGGGCCGATCTTCCTCACACACACAAAAAAAACCTAAAACATGGAGGGACAAGAGCAAAAGTGTAGAGCTTTAGAACACATTCAAACTTAAGTTGTTGTCAAGTTAAAATAAATTGTTATAAATATAAGTTTTTATATGTAAACTTCATAGTAACCACAAAGCAAAAACCTATAGTAGACACACAAAAGATAATGAGAAAGGAATGTAAGCACACCACTAAAGAAAGACATCAAGCCACAAGGGAAGAGAGTAAGAGAAGAAGAACAGAACAGAGGAACTACAAAACAGCCAGAAAACAATTAACAAAATGGCAATAAGTACATATCTATCAATAATTACTTTAAATGCAAATGGACTAAATACTCCAATCAAAAGACATAGAGTGGCTGAATGGATTTAAAAAACAAGACCCATCCATATGCTGCCTACAAGAGACTCACGACAGACATAAGGACACACACAGACTGAAAGTGAAGGTATGGAAAGATATTCCATGCAAATGGAAAGCAAAAGAAAGCTGGGTAGTTATACTTATATCAGACAAAACTGACTTTAAAACAGACTGTAGGGGCTGGCCTGGTGGTGTAGCAGTTAAGTTCACATGCTCCACTTGGACGGCCCGGGGTTCACAGGTTCAGATCCTGGGTGCGGACATATGCAGCACTTGTCAAACCATGCTGTGGCAGGAGTCGCACATAAAATAGAGGAAGATGGGCACAGATGTGAGCGCAGGGCCAATCTTCCTCAACAAAAATAGGAGGATTGGCAATAGATGTTAGCTCAGGGCTAATCTTCCTTATCAAACAAACAAAATAGACCTAAAGGGAGAAATAGACAGCAATTCAATAATAGAATGGGACTTTAATACTCCACTGACATCAATGGATAAATCACCCAGACAGAAAATCAATAAGGCAATTTCAGCAGCCTTAAATGACACATTAGACCAGACAGATTCAACATATATATGATATATACAGAATGTTCCATCCAAAAACAACAGAGTACACATTACACTCAAGTGTACATGGAACATTCTTCAGGATAGATCATATGTTAGGCCACAAAAAAAAGTCTTAAAAATTTTAAGAAGATTGAAATCATATCGAGCATCTTTTCTGACCACAATGGTATGAAACTAGAATTCAACTACAAGAAGAAAACTAGAAAATTCAGTTACGTGGAGATTAGACAGTATGCTACTGAACAACAAATGGGTCAATGAAGAAATCAAAAGAGAAATCAAAAAATACCTTGAGACAAATGAAAACAGAAATACAACAAAGCAAAGTCTATGGGATGCAGCAAAAGCAGTTCTAAGAGGGACATTCCTACCAATAAATGCCTACCTCAAGAAACTAGAAAAATCTCAAATAAATAACCTAACTTTACACCACAAGGAACTAGAAAAAGAAGAACAAACAAAGCCCAAAGTTAGTAGAAGGAAGGAAATAACAAAGACCAGAGTGGAAATAAATGAAATAGAAACTAAAAAGACAATAGAAAAGATCAATGACACCAAGAGCTGGTTCTTTGGAAAGATAAACAAAATTGACAAACCTTTGGCTAGATTCACCAAGGGAAAAAAGAAAGAGGATTCAGATAAATAAAATCAGAAATGAAAGAGAAGATGTTACAATTTGTCAACTTAAAAAGCAAATTCATCTATTATTTTGCCCTCAAAATGAGTTTAATTGGGAATAGCCAAAAGAATTGCAATTCAGGATGTGCATGCTATGGTGAACCATAGGCAAACCTGAAAAACAAAGGAGGGGAGCTTGCCTTCATAGAGAAAAAGCGAGAGCAGGGAAGGGCTGTTCTAAACGAAAGTCCTCTGGGGGAAGCAACTGTTCAGGGTGGCAACAGCTTCTCATTGGCTCAGCTGCACTGTTTCTCATTGGCTGGGCTGTAGCTCCATAGGCAGAGAAATCTTTCTTTAGTAGTAAAGTAGTTTTACTTCCTGTTGAAGATACAAGCATATCTCTCTTCCTGTTTGGTGTAATTGATGATGTATGATAGGGAGTGAGAGCTCCCCACAGGGGCCTTCCTGACTCCAATTTAGCTAAGGTTTCTCTATTAACTTCCACAAACCGATACCATAGAAATACAAAGGATCATAGCAGACTATGAACAATTACACACCAACAAATTGGACAAGCTAGAAGAAATGAATAAATTCCTAGAAACATACAACCTACCAAGACTGAATCATGAAGAAATAGAAAATCTCAAGAGACCTATTACTAGTAAGGAGATGGAATCAGTAATCAAAAACCTCCCAACAAACAAAAGTCCAGGACCAGACAGTTTCAATGGTGACTTCTACCAAACATTCAAAGAAGAATTAGTACCAATCCTCTCAAACTCTTCCAAAAAAAGAGAAGGGGAGGGAATACTTCCAAACTCATGTTATGAGGCCAGAATTACCCTGATAGCAAAACCAAACAAGGACATCAGAAGAAAAGAAAATTACAGGCCAATATCCCTGATGAACATAGATGCAAAAGTCCTCAACAAAATATTAGCAAACCAAATTCAACAATACATTAAAAGGATCATACACCATGATCAGTGGAATTTATTACAGGATTGCAAGGATGGTTCAATATCCGCAAATCAATCAATGTGATACACCACATTAACAAAATGAGGAATAAAAATTATATGATATTAATAGATGAAGAAAAAGTATCTGACAAAATTCAACATCTATGTACGATAAAAACTCTGAACAAAGTGTATACAGAGGGAAAATACCTCAACATAAGAAAGACCATATATGACACGCCCATAGCTAACATGATACTCAGTGGTGAAAAGATGAAAGCTTCTCCTCTAAGACCAGGAACAAGACAAGGACGCCCACTCTCACCACTTTCATTCAACATGGTATTGTAAGTCCTAGACAGAGCAATTAGGCAGAAAAAAAAGGCATCCAAATTGGAAAGGAAGAACTAAAACTGTCACTATTTGCAGATGACATGATTTTATATATAGAATATCCTGAAGATTCCACCAAAAAACTGTTAGAACTAATAAATGAATTCAGTAAAGTTGCAGGATACAAAATCAATATACAAAAATCAGTTGCATTTCTATACTCTAATAACAAACTGTTAGAAAGAGAAATTAAGCAAACATTGCCATTTACAATTGCACCAAAAAGAATAAAACGCCTAGGAATAAACTTTACTAAGGACTGAAAGACCTGTACACTGAAACTATAAGACACTGATGCAAGAAATTGAAGATGATGCAAATAAATGGAAAGATAATTCTGTGCTCATGGATTGGAAGAATATTGTTAAAATGTCCATACTACCCAATGCAATCTACAGATTCAATGCAATGCCTATCAAAATTCCAATGCTACTTTTCACAGAAATAAAACAATCACAAAATTTGTATGAAACCACAAAAGACCCCAAATAGCCAAAACAATCTTGAGAGAGAACAACAAACCTGAAGGCATCATGCTCTCTGATTTCAAACTATATTGCAAAGCTATAGTAATCAAAATAGTATGGTATTGGCATAAAAACAGACACAGAGAACAATGGTATAGAATCAAGAGCCCAGAAAAAGACCTACTTGTATACGGTAAATTAATTTACGACAAAGGGACCAAGAATACAATGAGGAAAGGAGAGTCTCTTCGATAAATGGTGCTGGGAAAACTGGACAGCCACAGGCAAAAGACTGAAACTGGACTATCATCTTACACCATACACAAAAATTAACTCAAATGGATTAAAACTTGAATGTAAGACCTGAAACCATAAAACTCTTCGAAGAAAACATAGGTGGTAAGCTCCTTGACATCGGTCTTGGCAATGATTTTTTGGATCTGACACTAAAAGTAAAGGTAACAAAAGCAAAAATAAACAAATGGGACTACATCAAACTAAAAAGCTTCTGCACAACAAAGGAAGTCATCAACATAATGAAAAAGCAACCTACTACATGGGAGAAAACATTTGCGAATCACATATCTAATGGGTTAATATCCAAAATATATAAAGAACTCATACAACTCAACAGCAAAAAAACCCCAAAGAATCTGATTAAAAAATGGGCAGAAGATTTGAACAGACATTTTCCAAAGAGAACATACAGATGGCCAACAGGTACATGAAAAGATGCTGAACGTCACTAATCAGGGAAATGCAAATCAGAACAACCATAAGATATCACCTCACATCTGTCAGAATGGCTATTATCAAAACGACAAGAAATAACAAGTCTTGGCAAGGATGTGGAGAAAAGGGAACCTTTCTGCGCTGTTGGTGGGAATGTAAATTGGTGCAGCCACTATGGAAAATAGTATGGAGGTTCCTCAAAAAATTAAAAATAGATCTACTATATGATCCAGCAATTCCTCCTCTGGGTACTTATCTGAAGGAAACAAAAACGCTAACTCGAAGAGATAGCTGCATCCCCATGTTCACTGCAGCATTATTTATAATAGCCAAGATATGAAAACAACCTAAGTGTCCATCGATGGATAAATGAATAAAGAAAATCTGCATACACACACACACACACACACACACACACACACACACAAAATGCAATATTATTCAGCCATAAAAAAAGAAGGAAATCTTGCCGTTTGTGACAACGTGGATGGAACTTGAAGACATTACGCTAAGTGAAATAAGTCAGAGAAAGACAAATATCGTATGATCTCACTTATATGTGGAATCTAACAACAAACAAACAAAAAACCAAACCAAGCTCATTGACACGGAGAACAGATTGGTGGTGGCCAGAGGTGGGGCGGGGGGTAGGCCTAATGAGTGAAAGTGGTCAAAAGGTACAAACTTCCAGTTACAAAATAAATAAGTCATGGAGATGTAATTTACAGCATGGCAACTATAGTTAATAATACTGTATCGCACATTTGAAAGTTGCTAAAGAGAGTAGGTCTTAAAAGTTCTCATCACAAGAAAAAACATCTGTATGTATGGTGACAAATGTTAACTAGACTTATTGTGGTGATCATTTCACAATATGCACAAACATCAAATCATTATGCTGTACATCTGAAACTAACATAATATATCAAGTATACCTCAATAAAAAAATAATAAAGAAAAAAACCTCTACCTAAACCTTGCACCTTATACAAAAATTAACTCAAAATGGATCATAGATTTAAATGTAAATCATAAAACTATGAACCTTTTAGAAGAAAATACTCAGGACGTAAGGCTTTATGAAGAATTCTTAAACATGGCTCCAAAAGCATAATCCATAAGAGAAAAAAATCAATAAATTGGACTGCATGAAAATTTAAAACTTTTTCTTTAGAAAAGTCCTTTTTAAGACAATGAAAAGACAACCTACAAAGTGGAGAAATATGATATGCTAACCACATATCTGACAAAGGACTCACACCTAGAAAATATGAAGAACACTCATATGATGGCACCTAGCACATGAAAAGATGTTCAACATCACTAGCCATTAGGGAAATGCTAATTAAGACCACAATGAGACACGACTACACACTTATTAGAGCAGCTAAAATAAAAAATACTGACAATATCAAAAGCTGGCAAGGATACAAAGAAACTGCATCTCTCCTACATTGCTAGTAGAAATGTAAAATATTATAGCCACTCTGGAAAATAACTTGGTAGTTTCTTTAAAAACTTAATGTATTAGTTTTCTATTGCTGTGTAACAAATTACCACAAATTAGCAGCTTAAGACAATGTATTAGCCCACACAGTTCTGCAAATCCAAAGCCCAGCACAGCATGACAGGGTTCTTAGCTCAGGGTATCACAAGGCTGAAACCAAGGGGTCAGCCAGAAGGAGTTCTGATCTGGATGCCCTGCAAAAATCCACTTTCAAGCTCATTCTCATTGCTGGCAGAATTCAGTCCTCTGTGGTTTTAGGACTGAGGTCCCCACTTTCTTGCTCGAGGTCAGCAGGGCTGCTCTCAGTTCCTACAGGTTACCTGCATTCCTTGACACATGGCCCCCTCCATCTTCAAGCCAGCAACAATGCATTTAGTCCTTCTTGAGCTTTGAACCCCTGACTTTCTCTGTCTCTCACATCTAGACCAACCTGAGAAAACTGTCTGTTTTTATGGGGCTCACCTGATTAGATCAGGCCCACCTTCCTATCTTAAAGTGAATCAATTTGGGACCTTAATTGCTGGAAAATCCCTCCACAGAAGTACCTAGATTGGTTGAATAATTGGGAGAAGGTGTGTGCACACCAGGGGCAGGAATCTTGGGGGCCAAGTTAGAATTTTGCCTACCACACTACACATACACTTACCATATCACCCAGCAATCACACTCTCAGGGGTACATCCCAGGGAAATGAAAACTTTTGTCCACACAAAAACTTGGACATTATTGTTCATCGCAGCTTCATTTGTAATAATCAAAAAACTGGAAACAACCAAAATGTCCCTCAATAGGTGGTTGGTTAAATTGTGGCACTTCCATACCATTAAATACTACTCAGCAATAAAAATGAACAAACTATTGACACACACAACTCAGGGTATTATGCTGACTGGAAAAAAAAATCTCAAAAAATTATACACTTTATGATTCCATTTATGTGTAACATTCTCCAGATGACAAAATGATGGAAATGGAAAACAGATTAATGGTTGCCAGTGGTTAAGGATGGTTAAAGCATGAGGGAGATCTTTGTGGTGAGATAATAGTTCTGTATCTTCATTGTAGTAGTGCTCACACAAATTTACATCTGATAAACTGTCACAAACAACACACACACATTGTACCAATGTCAATTTCCTGGTTTAGATATTGTTGTGTATAGTGTATCAATATAACTGTGGATAGTTAAGTAGGTTGCAACCATTGGGTGGAATTGGGTGAAAGGTCCATGGGACCTCTCTGTAATATTCTTTAAATTTCCTGTGACTCCACAGTTATTTCAAAATGAAAAGTTAAAAATGTACATAGGTTTTTCATCCAGCTAGAATTGATTTTTGTGAATGGTTTGATGTAGGAAGTTCTTTTCCATTTTTCCTACGGATAAACAATTATCCCAACACCATTTATTTAAAAGTTTATCCTTTCCTTACTGAAATTTTTTTGTCCACTAGAGGAATTTTTAAATTGAGATATGATTCACATGCCTTACGATTCACTCACTTAAAGTGTAAAATTCAATAGTTTTTAGTCTATTCACAGATATATGCAACTATCACCACAATCAATTTTAGGACATTTTCATCACCTAAAAAAGAAACTTTGTACCCCTTACCTATCTACCCCTATATCCATGCCCCTGACCCACAGCCCTAAGTATCCACTAATCTACCTTCTGTCTCTATAGATTTGCCCATTCTGGACATTTAATACAAATGAATCATATAACATGTGGTCTTTTGTGACTGACTTCATTCACTTAGAATAATGTTTTCAAGGTTCATCCATGTTGTAGCATCTATAAGTATTGCATTCCTTTTTACGTCCAAATAATAGTTCATTGTATTTATATGCCACATGTTCTTTACCCATTTATCAATTAATGGACATCTGAGTTGTTTCTACCTAATGGCTACTATGAACAATGCTGTTACAAACATTTGCGTACTAGTTTAGTGTGGACATATGTTTTCATTTATCTTGGGCATTTACCTAGGAGTGGGATTGCTGAGTCAAACAGTAACCCTGTTTAACCATTTGAGGAACTGCCACACTGTTTTCCAAAGTGACTAATTCCCACCAGCAGTGAATGACAATTCTGATTTCTCCACATCCTTGCTAACACTTGTTATTATCTAACTTTTGATTCTAGCCATCCTAGTGGGTGTGAAGTGGTATGCCATTGTGCGAATTCACCCTTTTAAAGGGTACAATTCAATGATTTTACTATGTTCATTTCCCACTGATTTTGCAATGTCACTTATTCGTATGTCAAGTGACCACTTAAGTATAGGTCTGTTTTTGAGTTTTTATTATAGTCCATAGGTCTGCTTGTCTGTCCCTGAACCAATACCACACTGTCTTAATTACTATAGTTTTATAATGAGTCTTGATATCTAGTAGAGCAAGTTCTTCCATCTTCTTCTTATTCAAGAGTGTCTTTTTTAAAACATCTACATGTTGATATAAATTTTTAAATCAGCTTTTCAAGTTCCACACTTTTAAAAAAGTTGGTATTTTAAAATTGAGATTGCATTGAATCTATAGATCCAATTTAGGGATAACTGACACTTACAACATTTAGTATTCCAATCCATGAACATGATATGTCTCTTCCTTTATTTTGGTTTTCTTTACTGTTTCTAAAAGTTCTATGATATTCATGATACAAGTCTTTCACACCTTTCTGTTGAATTTACTCCCATGAATTTCATATTTTTATGATTTTTAAAGTATTCCTTTTAAAAATTATTTTTTGTATGTACATAGTATTCAGAAATTCAATAGATTTTTACATTAATTTTTGTATCCAGAAACCTAAACTATCTTATCTGAAAATATTTTTGGTATTATCTTTTGAATTTCTTGTAATTTTTTTAATTTATTGACATAGTTTAAAACACTAATTTCAATGTCTGAAATATCTACAGTTATGTCTCAGTAATTTTCAGCCTTTCTTCTTTTCTAATATAAGCATTTAAGGCTATAAAGTTTTCTCTAAATAATGCTTTAACATCACCCCACAAATTTAGATAATATACTATTCTCATTATTTTCAGAACAAAAATGTCTAATTTCCATTACAGTTTCTCTTTGACCCATGGGTTATTTGGAAGTATTTGTTAATTTACAGGCACGTGAATTTTTTCTTCTGGTTAATGATTTGTTTTTTATTTCTAACTAAGTTGAACTGGGTCAGTGAACCTACCTTATGTTATTTCTGCCATTGGAAAAAAACTTTTAATTGAGATATAATTCCCACACCATATGCACCGAGTTAGCCAAACTGCACAGTCCCCTAAAATGCCCTGACTTCTGAAAACAACTGCAAGTTTAGGGGGTTCCTAAAACCACCCTCAGGTTTGTCAATTTGCTAGAAGAACTCACAGAATTACTAAAAGCTGTAATGCTCACACTCATGGCTTATTACAGAGAAAGAATAGAGATTAAAATCAGCTAAAGGAAGAGATACATACGGCACGGTCCAGGGTGCTTCCACAAAGCTTCCACTGCTCTTTCCTCATGGAGTCAGGATGTGTTATCCTTAGGACATTGATGACCTATAACATGCAAAGTAGCGCCCCCAAGCCTTGATGTCCAGAGGTTTTATGGCGGCTGCATTACAGAAAGCATGACTGACTGATTGCCCACACAGCTATCTCAGTCTCCAGGTCCACTGACATGGCATGACACAAAGCCTCCATCCTAACTCACATTGTTGGTCCTTCTGGTACGGCCAACCTCCATCCTATGACTATCAGCTAAGGCTGGTCCCATCCTAAGACCCTGTGTGGTCAGCGCCCAACCTAAAAAATGACATTCTTGCTAGGTATGACACAGATCACCTCCCGGAAGCCAAGGGCAAAGGCCAGACTTCTCTTGGGCAAGGCCAAATTCTTTACCACACACCATCAAGGTCACCCTTTTAAAGTGTACAGTTTAGTGGTTTTTTAGTATACTCACAATGTTGTGCAACCATAAACACTGTCTAATTCTAGAGCATGTTCATCACCCCAAAAAGAAACTGTACCCGTTGGCAGTCACTCCCCACTTCTCCTTCATCTCTCCCCTGAGACCTTGGCAACCACTCATCTTCTTCTATCTCTATGGATTTGACTATGCTAGACATTTCATATAAAGGGAATCATATAATATGTGGCCTTTTATGTCTGGCTTCTTTTACTTAGCATAATGGTTTCAAGGTTCATCCATGTTGACGTATGTGTATCAATACTGTATTCCTTTTTCATGGCTGAATATTCTTCCATTGTATGAATATATCACATTTTGGAAAAAAATATACATCACATTTTGTTCTTCAGTTGATGGACCTTTGGGTTGTTTCCACTTTTGACTACTATGAATAATGCTGCTATGAACATTCATGTGCACATTTTTGTGTGGACATGTTTTCAGTTCTCTTGGGCAAATAACTAGCCATAAGGCCAGCTCCTCACCAGTGCCTCTTGGCCCATCAGCACATAAAGACAGGCCCCCACAGTGCTGCACTCCCCTCCTGTGTGGACAGAGTCAACTTCTGACTCCCTGCCGATGTTGTCAGCGCCTGGGGCCTGGGGCATCTGAGCTCTGAGGACACAGACGGGACCTGCAGACTAAAGGACAGAGGTCCTATTTACCCAAACTAGGATGCTTGCAAATCATGAAAGGAAAAGAGAAGTACCATGTCACCAAAAGTAAAGAATGGAAGGACCATGAGGGGCCACTTGCTCCAGCCCAGAATCGGACACTTTAATTGCCTCTACAACGTCCCCACTGAGCAGCCATCAGTTGCTCCTGAAAGCCTCCAGGAAAGGGGAACTTTCTGTAGTCGAGGCAGCCTCTCAAGCTTCAAAATAATCAGATATGTCTTACTTGGGCAGAGTTAGAATCTATTTCCTTGTGGTGTCCATCTTAGGGCCATAAGAACATTCTCCTCCCTATTAACCGAGTAGGCCCTTCAGAAGTCTGAAGGCAGGACCCATTTTCCTGAACCACCTTCTCTTCTATACCACCCCTAAAGTTTTCCCTTCAACCAAAGGCAAGCAATTTTTCCTGTTATCAAGTCCAGTCACTGAGCTCTGCAAAGTGTCTTATACAAACCCCAAGAGGAACTGAATCAATATATCCCTCTCATAGATGAGGACACTGAACCTGAGCTTGGCTTGGAAAGATCTCTCCACTCACTCCGCATCCAAATGCCATCACTTTTCCATGAAACACAAAACAAACCACTTACTGGCTTTCGTGGCGCTCCCATAGACACTTCAAGCCTTGGTCAGCCAAGCCTTCCAGAATGAGGAGGTGGATCTTCCCATCCAGCAGATGGAAGCCCGTGAGCACATCCAGGTCCTCCCTTTCCTGGATCTTCACCCACATCTTAAAGCCTGACAGGATCTGCTGGATGTTCTCAATAGGGTAGGAGTCCAGATCAAGGGCCTTGGCGTTGATCATGGTGATGTCCTGCAGGAGGCTGTGCAGGAGGATCTCCCTGGAGCCAAACATGAAAATCATGCGACCAAACCGGGTGCCTGTGAGGTCTGGATTGGGGGCTTCAGCCCCAGCCTGCAGTGGCACTGCGATGTCCACTCGCAGCTTGAGTGTGGAGTTGGCCTCTAGGTAGTTGCCCATGGGCATTGGGCCACGCTGGAGGCCGTCTGTGGGAACCCTAAACCCCACCACCTTCCTGCTCCTGCTGTCTGGGCCACAGTCTGCGGGCTTAGGCTTGCAGTTTTGGATGGGGACCGCCAGGTTCAAGAACTTGTGGCCGAGAAGGAGGTCGGCAAAACTGACGTGGGCAACCCCATAAGGGTCCCACATCTTGTTTTGTGATTCTGCCTCTTTGGGAGAGAAGAGGGCCTGGAAGTTGAGGTATGAATCCAGGGGGTCCTCCCCAAACAGGGTGGGCTTCTGGGAATACTCTTCTGACTTGCGGTCCCGGTCGTGGACTTCTACCACCATGGGGGGGCCCTCCAGGTATTCCCTCAGGTCACTGGGGTGCATCAGCCCAAGGAAGATGACATTGATGTCCTCAAAGTAGATACGGACCCCATGGGGCTGCCCCTCAGTCTTGTGAACCGGAGTCTTATGGAACTGGTACTTGCAGTACACAGGTGTGCACAGCCTCTACAAGAGAGCAAGGTGACAGCAGGTCACTGGGCTGCAACAGCAATCACTCTGCCTTCCCCCTAAAGGAAGGCTACCAGCACAGGGGGCTCAAATCCCAGCGCCAAACTCACTACCTGTAGCCCCTGCGCCTGGGTTTCCACATCCACAAAATTCCTATGAGAAAGCCTGCTCTGCAAGGTCATTCCTAGGACTGAGTGACAAATGTGAAAGCACCACGATGGTGGCTAGCACAAGACAAGGGCTCAATAAATATTAGTGACTATTTCTTCCTCCCAAACTCACAGTGTCAGGAAGAAAGGCCACGTGCCTTTTTCACATTTGTATTTCTAGTTCCTCAGCCCAAGGCTAGGCACAGAAAGGGTGGAAATAAGTGGTTTTTAGAAAAAGTAATCCATATTTTCCAGACACATACATCTGGAAAGTTGGTGCAGGCTCACCTTTAGCATACTAAGTATCCACGTGGAAAGGTGCAACAAGGCAAAAAAGACTCAGAGGTCTGGGGCTTATGAGGGCATGGAGAAGGAGATGGAAAGGAGGGGCAGAGCTGTTTTGAGGCAGAAAACAGGGACCTTTGCATGTTTTAACCTTAGTGTTAAGATTTTATAATCAAAAGCTAACCCTTACACAGGTCTGTGGTTCAAATTCTTACTCTAAGTGTACTGTTTATTTTATAATGAAGCTGAAAATTTATTTAAAAATAATGCTGGCTTGGTAGCACTCCCAGGTACCTGGTGGAAGTAATTAAGAAACCTTCTGGAGAAATCCACTTTCAACCTAGGTCTCAAAGAATTCCCACAATTTCCATTGAATATGAGATCACAGTAAAAATCACAAAACACCTAAGGGGAAAAGGTACTACCAGCAAAATCAGATGCACAAAGGCATAAGATATCAGAATGATCAGATACATAAAGTAAATATATTTTTTAGCTTAAAAAAATAAAAATATTATCAAGGTCAAATCTATTGTAACTGTACTTACTAGCAACGAATAATTTAAAAATGAAATTTTAAAAATATGACCTACAGTAGTATAAAAACATAAACTACTTAGGGAGAAATTAAATGGAAGATGTGTAAGACTCGTACACTGAAAACTACAATACATCACAGAGAGAAGTTAAAGAAATATAGAAATTTTCAT